ATTTTTGTAAAATGGGTGTGATCCCACCCATTTATGATGAAATGCTGTATCTTAGTAGCCGCTTCACTAATCCTTATCAAACTCGGCATGAGCCTTTCCTAGGGTCTAGCTAAGAAATCTGTTAAAAATCTTTGAAATCGGGAAGTAACCCCGCCCCCCTACCATATAACGGTAATTTATAGAAAGACGAAAGCTGCGACAAATTAGTAACTACTGAAGCTTATTCACTTAAAGTGAGCATAAAATTAAATTATAAAATTTTTGTTTATAAGAGGCGTGGCGCTGCCACTTTATGACCACAAATGTGTACCTCGGTAACCAATTAATCAATTTCTATCAAACTTGGTGCACTTAAAAGCCGTGATATGGAAAAGCGATTAGTTGAAAATTATTCAAATCTGACTAAAATTACAGCCGCTTCCCGTATAAATACGGTGACCATCCGTCCTGTATTATACGGGACAGTCCTCTTTTTTGACCCATTGTCCTGGTAATTTATTTATTTTATACGGGACGCCAAATGTTCTGTATTTCTTTTAATGTCCTGTATTTGTCCCGTATTCGGCGCTCCGAAGCCTTAACAGCTCATTAAAATGGCTTGCCTATAAACGAGTTTTAAGTGATTTTGGTATATAATGGCAATTTTCTTTATAAACAGTTATTATTTCCTAACCTGAATGCCTGTGATTCGAATCGAAGAATACATACAGTGACCAAAATATAAATTGAGACCCGACATTTTAGTAAGTTGTGGCTATTTTTCTTTAGTTTATTTAATGTTTATTATTAATTATTTTATTAAAGTAAAGCTCTTTTCCTAAGAAAACCTATAAAATTAATTCTGCAATGTTTCACCAAAATTTCAAACTTTTTAATTAGAATCTTTAGGAAAAAAATTGGGTTGCAGTTTTGTAACTCATTAAAATTCAGTTTAATAAAGTGCGAATGGAAAGTGCTGCCCATTTGCTTCTCTTTCAAAAAAGAAGGCCGAACATACATAATTTGTCTGAAAAAAAGCGTAACACTGTCAACAAAAAAAAAAGAAAATTGCCAACATTTACCGACTTAAAATTGCACTTTCTGATACTAAAATTTAACGAATTTTTTTAACAAATTATATGGGGTAAAAATCCCGAGAAAATTATACTACAAATTTGTGATGTTACTATAAGGATACTCTTTCAGGGAAAACAGTGTGGACAAAATTTGCAAAATAATTTTTTGTCCCGTATTCGGCTTTCATAAATATGGTCACCGTACGTATAAAGGAAAATTTCAGAAATACGATAAATCCGATATTTCAATAACTGACGATGCTAATTTACTCCAAGTTAATACTTACAACAATCTCTCATCAATAAGTATGACTGTTATAGACTTTTAGGAATTGGGCGTGACATGGCCCACTTGATGACTACAAAGATGTATATCGGTAACCGCTCTATCGATTTCTACGAAACTTGGTTTAATTATATCACTAAGTCTAACTCAGCATATTATAGTAAACGTTTGAAGCCGGGAAAACCTCTTTTATCATGCAAAGGTAGTTTAGAAAAAGTTGAGACGACGATATTTGATACCTGCGCTGGGTACATTAAATTTGGTTTAATCCGAACTTATACTGCTTTACTTGTTTATGTTTGCATTTGTTCGTTATTTGGCAATGCCTTTTAATTTTATATTTGGCTTTGTTTAACCGCTATCATCTGACTGAAATCATAAAAGTCAACCCTTTATCCAATAACTTTATATCGAAAAAATTTCAAGTCGAAAAAAAAATTTCGAGACTTTTATTAATTTATCATTTGTTCTCTATTCTCAAGAGCCGGCGTGATATCGCCGCCATCTTAGAAAGAAGGTAATTTACATCGACACCGTTAATTTTTTCGAAAAAAATAGAGAATAATTTTTTGTTAGTCGAAAAAAAAACTTAATTTTTTGTTTACGAAAATTTCTTAGAGAATAGTTCCTTACTATGGGAGTGTTACTCATACGCACTGGTTCACTTCCACTTTATAACCAGTAATGGCGTTTTCGTTTCTACCGAAAAATGCAACCTTCTCTTTGCCCTCTACGCACAAACACTAAGAAAAGGGCGATGAGAAGGCAACATTTTTTGTAGAAACGAAAACGCCATTACTGGTTATTAAGTGGAAGTGAACCAGTGCGTATGAGTAACACTCCCATAATAAGGAACTATTCTCTAAGTAGCAAATGATTTGATGTATGTATGCATTTTCAGCCACATATTTAACAAATTTAACAAAGTGAATTGCAAGTCTACGCCATTAAGTAGTATTTTTGCGGAGTTAAAGTTACAGCTGGTGTTCCCTTTGTAAAATTCAATGACATTCGCCGTCAAATAAGTGAAAACACATTTTCAGAGGAACAAAAAACCTGTCTGTAGATTGATTTAGATCAGATTAGTTCTTCAATCGAGTACATACGATACTAAATCGGTCCCTTTTTGACCTCTTAAATAATTGGAAAAGGAATGGAAAAAGAAGATAAAGTTGTGTCAAAATGTGACAGGATAGTGAAAACAACCTTTAATTAGGAACTATCGAAATGAGGATCTTATTTTTTAAGTTATAACCGGCGAGTGTTAAAGTATCCTTTAACAAATGAAATCAAATCATCCCTCAACCTTGAGTGCATTGAGTGATTAAATTTCCTTGCTAGGTGCAACGATGTCTAGCTAGGCCATAAAAAAAGAGAAAGTGTGAAAGCTAATGGCAGAACATACTGGCCGTAGACCCCAATACTATTAGAGAAGAGAACAGAAAAGAGAGGAGTGCGTTGAAACACTGAAAAAAGTCATCAGCAGTGAAATTCTGACAATCGCTACGCAAAATTTTCGTTTCCAAAATTCTCTAGATGAAAACACAGTGAAAACAGTGAGGCCTAGATGTATGCAAAATAAAAAAGCAACAGATGCAATGTGTAATCAGCTAAAGCTGGCGGTAAGACTAGATTTTGCATATCGTTAAGCGCGCCTGCTATTCTTTTGGAGATTTTTGGCAAGATTAGTGATAGCGAATGTTGGAATTTGATTGCAGGATACTGCAGACTGTGACGCCAACTGCATAAACTGGGTATAAGTAAAAACGAATGAAATATGCCGCTTTTAGAGCCGACCAAGGAGACCATCACATGTTTTTTTTTGAGTCTGCTGTTGTTTGGAGATGCCTTGAAGGGAGGAGTCTAGGTTTACTGGGTAATTTTGGCTAATATAGTAAAAAGTCTTTCGTTAGACAAATGAAAGACAGATGGCAAGATAGTTCGAAATACTTTTGTTATTCTAGCACAAAAGTCTTAGAAAAAAGCTCTCTTATTCACCACTCGAGGTTAAAATCCAATTTTGGGAGAAAGCACTTGTACGAACATATATCATTTAGCTCGCGTTGCTCCAACAGTCGCAATGGCCGAGTGAACAAAGCACAGGCGTGCCTTTCGAGAGCTTCGGGTTCGAGTCCTCGGGCAGCGGATTTTTTTCTTTTTTTTTTGTGTAATGTAAATTTTTTTTCTTTTAGAGCCATTTAATTTTTTTAAACATCTTTTATGTATCTTTTCTCTTTAAGTATTTATTTCTTTGTTAATTTAATTTTCTTTTAATATTTAGATGTTATTCTTTTAACAAGAAGAATATTTTTTGTAGTTTAATTTAATTTTAAGGAACTTATTTAATTTATATTTTTTTAATACATTTTTTTTTATATTTTTAGTTAAATTTTCTTTTGATTTATAGAATTTAGGACCGTTTTCTCAAGTACCCTGTAGCTTTAAAGCTCACTTTACTCACTCACTACTTAACTTTCGACATGGCTTTAAGACCATTCAGAAATTTTTAGAAACTTATTTTATTAATTTGCTATTCTTTTAATCAATGTCTTTTTTCTTTTTCCTTTTTTAATAAAATTTTCTTTAATTCTTTGATTTTGTTTTAAAAATAATTTTTTTTTCTATTTTTTCAGTTTTTAAGTACTATTTTCTTTTGAGTTGAATTCTTTTTTTTCTAATATTATATTTAGATTTTATATTTTAGAAAAGAGAAAAATATGTTTTTGATGTCATTCAATTGCTAAAAATACTTTTACTTATTTTTGTTTTATTTTCATTTTATTTAATTTTAATTTTTTTTAATTTCATTTTCTTTTACTTATTTATTAGTGTTAATTAAAAAAGAATATATATATACATATATAATTTTTTAATTTAATTTAAATAAAAAAAAAACTAATTGCTAAGACTTTTCTTTCAATTAGTCTTTCGAAAGACGGTAAAAGGCTTCCAAGATAGTTGCCAGAATTAACAACTCTTTTACGAAAAACTTTTTCTTTCGAAAGACTGTGGTGAGTTGAAAGACAGTTACCAGAATTGCTCTGCTGATATACTCTCAAAATCTCTACTCTCTGGGGGATTTATAGGCTTTAATAAACTTTGATTATCTATTAGAAATGCCTGAAGAAAATGTACTCAAATCGATGGTCATACTCTGATTCAGATGATGCAGATCAGTGGCTACTGACTCAAATACATTTTACAAAAGAACGTTAATGTTTTTAAAGAGCCTTTATTTATATTTATCCTTTGAGAACATATATATAGCGTTACATTAATATAGAAAGTTAAGGCCGAAGTCAATTTTTATTAACCAATCATTATTGAATTTAAAAACCATTATGACAACCATAAATTAACTTTTATTTCTATTTAATTTCTTTAATTTCTATTAGATTTTTAAATTTGTTATTAACCTTTCCATATTACAGTAGCGCTACATACATAACTCCATAAATATGCAGCTAATAGCTATCCAAACTAAAAATATTCACCAATCTATGTTCTTAAATATGCAGCTAGAAAAAAAAGACTGTAATTTGTTATGTTCTGACCATGTTTGCATTAAATCACATATCCATTTCATGGATTGCTAAAAGAAAAAGATCAATATTGTCTTATAAAAAATTCTTAACTAATACCAATTACTTTCTTTTTAGGGGATGTCGGGGTGTGACCAAAGCACTGTCGAATCATTGGCCGAAGATCCAACAGATTCACCATTCGTTGCCGATGAGTGTCTCAAAGTACGCAAGTATTGGTGTTTTTTGCTCTCGAGCATTTTTACCTTCCTTGCTGGCCTATTTATTGTGCTACTATGGCGGGCTTTTGCATTCATTTGCTGTCGCAAAGAGCCCGATCTGGGACCAAACGATCCCAAGCAGAAGGAGCAGAAGGCGTCACGCAACAAACAAGAGTTCGAGGGTACCTTTATGACAGAAGCCAAAGACTGGGCTGGCGAGCTTATATCGGGACAAACAACAACAGGACGAATTTTGGTGAGTTAAAAAAAAACAATCTTATTTATTAAAACTATAAATATATTTTCTTTGAAAATATAAAAAAAATGAAAAG